GAGGAGGAAGAGGAGGAAGAGGAGGAGGAAGAAGAGGAGGAAGAAGAGGAGGAGGAAGAGGAGGAAGAGGAGGAGGAGGAGGAAGAAGAGGAGGAAGTGGAGGAGGAAGAAGAGGAGGAGGAGGAAGAGGAGGAAGAGGAGGAGGAAGAAGAGGAGGAAGAGGAGGAGGAGGAAGAGGAGGAAGAGGAGGAGGAAGAGGAGAAGGAAGAAGAGGAGGAAGAAGAGGAGGAGGAGGAGGAAGAAGAGGAAGAGGAGGAAGAAGAAGAGAAGGAGGAGGAAGAGGAAAAGGAGGAGGAGGAAAAGGAGGAGGAGGAAAAGGAGGAGGAAGAGAAGGAGAAGGAGTCATTAACACTGGGCACTGAGGCCTTCCTATCCCTTCCTTCTATCTGGCCCCACGTCTCCTGACAGCTGTGGGTGGGTATGTTTGGTTTTGTTTTTTTCTCATCTTAAATTAAACTAAAATGACCTTCATCCTTTCCCTTTCCTGCCTGTGTCCACAGTGTGTGAAGAGTGGAATATACAGAACATTCTCTTGTGGCCTGCTTGCTCTTCAGTTTACTGGAGTGTGCCCCATTTAATCTAATACCCCAAACTGTGCCATTGACTTCTGCCCTACCACATGCACTGTCCTGTTCTCCCTTCTCCCCTTGGTGGACAGTCTGAGACCCAGGCCTCTCTCCATCTCCCACCCACACTTCCTCATTCCTCTTCCCCTTTGCAGTTCCTAATGTCAATAAGAAGGGTGTAGCTTTCCACACCTTTCTGCTGTGTGGGCACATAAGTGTATCTATAACTCACAGGCGTGTAGATTTATGTTTGCTTTGTTTTAAGCACTCTTCATATTAACTTTATGATTTTTTTGAGACAAAGTATTGCTATGTACCCCATATTGGCTTTGAACTCCACATCCTCCTGCCTCAGCTACCTTCTTGAGTTTTAGCATCCCACACCCAGATATGTTTGTCTTCATCACAGGTGCTCCTTACATGGTCTGTACATCAGAAGGTGTATTGCTAGCTCTGTAATTTGTAATTTTTAGCTACAAATGGGTGGATATTCAATGTAACTGAGTTTCTTCCACATTAAATAAACAGTTGCAGTTTTAGACATTAGAAAGAAAAACTAGATTTTGCATCTGGGTACTTTGCTGTGAGGAAGGCATAACTCTGCAAGTGTAGCTCTCAGCTCAGTGTAAGGCAAGGCTGCATAATTCATCTGGAGCCTGGTCGCTCTGCAGAGCCATGTCAATAAGCAGCTGCCTAAAAACAGTGTCACTGACTCTAGCCTTTGTATTGGGTGCAAATGTCACATTCTAAAACATTCCTGCACTGCTAAGTAAGAGACACTGACAACCCCGTCTGCTTCATAGCCTGCTCTGAGAGGAGCAACAGCAGCCCCGCTCAACAGTCCTGGGCATGCTCCTTGAATTGAAGTTATCTGCCAGTTTCTTCCTCCCTGGCAAAGTTAACTGACAGTTATAAAATGATGTCTGGCCTTGGTGGTCCCTGCTAAACTCTGTCAGTTCACAGAGAAGGTCACTGAGGGTCACACAGGATCTGCTGCTCCAGTCTTCAGTGTTACTCTTGGTCCTGTCCCTCTATTGTCCACCATTTACTTATTGTAACAGATGTCTTCAGTTGTTCCCCCCCCCCAGGCTTTTTTTTTTTTTTTTGTCAGCTTGACACAAAGTACAGTTATCTAGAAAGAGGAACTTCAACTGAGAAAATGGTTCCATCAGATTGGCCTATAGGCAAGTCTGCAGATCCTGGAAAGCATAAAAACAAACTGAGCAAGCCAAGAGGAGCAAGCCAATGACTCACTCCATGGCTTCTGCTTTAGTCTCTGCCTCCAGGATCCTGCTTAGAGTTCCTACCCTGACATCCTTGACCAGGAACATCCTTGGTGTGGAAACATTAGCTAAGTAAGCCCTCTCCTCTGCAGGCTTGACTATGGTGTCACGGCACCACACAGTCTCCCTGACAAAGACACTGCTGAAAATTAAAACCTGGGGCGCAGCAGCAGGTGCAGAGATCTCAGTAGCTGACTGCCACACTGCTGAAGGGAAATGTGCACAAGTTGAATTCCCATGATTGACCAGCATGCTTGGACCAAATGAGTTTTTATTATAATACAAAACTAATAGGTTAGTAGCAAAACAATTGAACAAGCCCATGCATGGATGTAGTGACCCTCCTAGCACATGGGAAGCTAAGACAAGAGGAGAAGACATGATCAAGGTTAGCCTTGGTTACAGAGCAAGACCCTGGTCTCCAAACAATATAAAAGAAACCATCAAAACACCAGAGATCACTGAAGTCTCCAGAGATGGCACAGGAAGAGGAAAGAACAGAACTTGAGAGGAACCTTTTTTGGACAAGATGACAGAAACTTAACAGGAATAAAATGATTAACTCAAATCTGTGTTAAAGGGTCAGGGGTCAAGCACGAAGGTGGTGCCTTTCTCCAGAGCTCGGTGGCTGAGCTCTGCCCAAGGGGTGGCGGCAACAGCCCTTGAATGCAGGCGACTGTGTTTGTTCAGTTTAAGAGGAACGGATTTTACGCTTTTAAATATTTGAAACAAAATTAAATGACATGAAAATTATATAGTCTTCTAACTTTTAGTGTCCACAAATGGTTGGGGAATATGGCCAGGATTCCCAACAGGCACTTCATGTTAAAGGGCAGGACTGAGTGGTTCAAACTGACACCATGTGGCCCTCCCAGCCTAGCACACGACAACCTTCCCCTGTACAGAACTGTGTCTGCTGACACAGCTGAGCCAAGATTTGCCTCAGCAGCTTTCCTTGTGGCACAGGGCTGGTCTCCATGCACAGAAGGAAGACAAGCCACATTGTTACCACAAGAATGGTAGAAGGCCGAGTCTGTCCTTTCTAGGTCTGAAGGGCAAGTCACACAGAAGCTTGCCTTGTGAGCCGTGCCTGCAGCCTTCAGGTTACCATCCTCAAGACCACCCCATTGAGACTCTGCATGTCAACTACCTTCTGATGATGAAGGGGCAGTGTATTATAGCCAGCAAACTTACACCAAAAGAATGAACACAGGACTGTAATGTGGTTGGTTCTGCCAGCTCCAAATCAAACCAGGACCTCTTTGTCCAGAGCATCTCATCATGAGCCTATGCGCCATGTCTTCTGTCACCAGAGACAGCTGAGGACTCACAACCTTTCAGAGCAAAGACTCAGAGAAGAACCACTGATTTTCACCTTCCCCTAGAATCTAGAGGAGACGCAACACTACACCTGTGATCTGTGCACAGGTCCTGAGGTCTGTGTCCACGCCCCAGTCTGGAATGGGCTTACAAGCCGGCTGAGGTGAATATTGAAGGAGTGGTGTCCTGAGACTTAAGGTTGGGAAAGCTCAGCTATAACCATAAAAAGTTCAAGATGGAGCACTGGAAGCTTCCAGGCACCTGGAGAAAGGCACAGCTACAGAAGGCCTCATGTGAGGGCTACAGAACCACCACAGATCGAATTTCCACTAACCCCAGAACTTCAAGGAAAGGCACAGGGGCAGGAGGACTCTACTTCTGCCCCAGTGTTCAGGACTCAGAAGGGACACAGAAGAGCTTGGCAGAGCTTTCTGTGCTGTCTCAAGAGCCTTCAACTTACTTCATCATCTTCATCTTCATCATCGTCAGACTCAAGAATACCATCCGGCAAATCTTCTGTGAAGAAAAATAAATTAATCAGAAAACCCACAGAGCTTGTCACTTGGTCACTGAGCATCATCCGGGGCAGTCATGTGAGCGTCACACGGAGAGGAGAGTCATGCTGCTGGGCACACCCGACACCCCTGACTCCCCTGACCACCGCCCTTCCACACTCCTGACCACTCACTGGCACACACGTTCACACTCTCGGCCATCCTGAATCAGCCACAGTAGTTCGCTACCATTCTTAGCAACCTCAAATACACTCTTTTTATCAGAACATATTTATTCATATTCTTATAAACACAGCATCAGAGGGAGCTGCAGGGCAGGAGAATGAACCAGCGTTTACTCCTAGGGAGCATGCTAGCCTCTACAACAGTGCTGCTTCATGTAATCCTCTCAACAGCTTTGTTGACCGTCATTCCTCGTCACAAGTAACAAGCGGAGGACAGAGGACCCAGGGGCCTGTCCGTAGTTCTGCTTTCTAAACCCTGTTGTTCTAACTTTTTTTTTTTTGTTTTTCGAGACAGGGTTTCTCTGTGTAGTTCTGGCTGTCCTGGAACTAACTCTGTAGACCAGGCTGTCCTCGAACTCAGAAATCCGCCTGCCTCTGCCTCCCAAGTGCTGGGATTAAAGGCGTGCGCCACCACTGCCCAGCTCCATTGTTCTAACTTAAAGATGAAGATTTGGGAAAGGAGCTGACATGAGGTTACCTTTAAATGAGCTTTAATAGGGGGTATGGAGGGCGGGGAGCAGGAATGACAGATACAGAGACAGACAGACAGAGTGACACATAAGGGCCATGAGTAGGCCTTGTGAAGGAGGAGAATACTAGGAGGGATCGAGCTTTACACCAGAGATGCTATGATGGGGCCTTGAAGGGAGAGAAAGAGCCCTTCCTTCAAAACTGGGACAGAGCTACACTAGGAGAGACAACTACCATGCACAGCATGACCGAGCCTGAAAGGAAGAACAGAAAATCCTCTGAACAAAGAAGGTTTCTGACTCAGAGTGTTTTGGGGGTTGAAGGTGTCAGGAAGTTCCACACCATGAGACTTATGACCTAGCCTTCAAGCAAAGGGAACAGGGGCAGGCACTAGCACAAGGTAGGAGCATAAATTTATCATGCAGTTTGCAAGGGCTTGCCTTTCCACTAAGGCTGTGTGCTTTAGACTGTCAGTTCTTCATTGGGGGTTGGAGGGCACAGCCTGATTTTTCCAAGCTCCCTTATCTAGTCTCTTAGAGTAGACAAGCCTAAGGAGGCAGGTCTATGATACAACACAGGGTGGGGGCAGGGGTGTTCTTAAAGGCTGAGGCTCATTACTAGCTCGGTGAGGTTTGCACACATGCACAAGTCCACAGTACTCAGAACCAGAGAATGAGCCATTCCCTCACCTGGCAAACGGGGATCATACTGCTTACTTCCCTGGGGCCTGAGAAAGGACGGAAGGGAATAACTTGGAGGAATTTACAGAACACCAGAACAAGGCACTTGGACCAGGTACATAGCAGACATCACCCAAATATGAGCTACTTTCTCCTCCACAAAGCCTTCTGAGGCATCATCTCTCCTCAGCTTTGCGTCTGGACTCCAACAGCACTCTCCCTGTGGAAGACCTATTCCCAGTGGACAGATAGCTACTGACTGGTTGGGAAGTCCCCTGGAGGCTAACCACCAAACTGAACGTCGAGCTGCTTAGGAGATTAGCAAAGCTCACTTCTGGCTCTCAAGACTGATGGCTAGTCTTGACTGTCACCTTGATGAGATTTAGAATCACTATGGACACAAATCTCTGAACAGGTCTATGAGGGAGTTTCTAGATTATGATAACTGGATAGGAAACCACACTTTAAATGTGGGCAGTCTTACTTCACAGACCGAATTCCTGAATGAAAAAGAGAAGGCAAGCTGAGCGCCAGCACTCCTCTCTCCGTGCTTCCAGACTGCAGGTACAATGGGGCTGGCTCCCTTGAGCTCATGCCGAGGTGACAGACTGTTTCTTCAAACTGCAAACCAAAAGCACCCCCCCCCCCCTTACATGCTTCTGCCAGGTATCTCACCACAGCAACAAAAGGTAATACAGGACACTGGCTCAGATGACTGGCAGCTAAGACAGTAATTGAGAGCAGGCCTGGCATGGCTGCGTAGGGGAAGGTGTGACATAGTTCCTGCCCCTGGAACAGCGCAAGGCCATTGATGCCCGCATGTGCTGATGGCTGCTGTTGCCCTGAAGCTGCTCTGCTATCTCTTCTGTTTTACATTCAGTCTCTCTTTCTGGGGAATATACTTCTGCCATCACTGAGAGCTAATCATGCTATGATAAATGAAACAGATGCAGTTCTCTCTCAGGAATGAGGAACGGAGGTGGTCATGAGGCCGGGGAGGATGAGGAACAGGCCCTCTGCTTGGCTTTTAGAGCCATCGGAAAGGATTAGACAATATAACCACAGAAACCATAAAAGCCTACATGGTCCTTTGTAGAAAGGACCATTCGTTAATTAGCCAGGTTGAACTTTGGGATATCAAGGACAGAGTGGTCTCAAGAAGAAAAGGCATGGACAGGAAAAGAGGGAATCTATAGAAAACAAGCAAATGACAGATGCGTTTGTCTTATAGGAGGAAGGCTCGTATATGATCTAGAAACAAACAGTTTTACAAGGAGAGTCTGTGAGGCCGTGGGCTTGCTAGGATAGGAAACAAGGATTAGAGAATTAAAAGATGATGTACAGGCATATAAAAAGCCAACACTTCTTCCCCTAGCCACCTGAAGGATCACAGATGAGAATACCTAGTTTATTTGCGTAAGTTTTAAAACTTTGTAAGAAATTATTTTTTTAATTTTTATTTATTCTTTAATTTTTATTTATTTTTTTGTAAGAAATTATTCTACCTTAGTAGTCTATCACCTCCTGACTTTACATGAAAACAGTTACTAAAGACTGCTGTCTGCTGTACTAGGAAACTGGAAGAGCTGTGTGTCCAGCAATCCATGAAGAACAGGCTGTGTAAACCTATAAGGAAACGTGCTTTTGCTTTGCGTTTAGTGTCTGTTTTAAGGAAGCAGGGGCTGGCTAATGATCCGGGATTCAAAAAATTTATGTAAATGTAGGGATTTCTAAAAAAATTTATTAACAGTATTCAAAGTCTTTTGTTTTTATTTGTTTATTTATTTATTTTGTTTTTTGAGACAGGGTTTCTCTGTGTAGCCCTGGCTGTCCTGGAACTCACTCTGTAGACCAGGCTGGCCTCGAACTCAGAAATCCACCTGCCTCTGCCTCCCAAGTGCTGGGATTAAAGGCACGTGCCACCACTGCTTGGCAGTATTCAAAGTCTTAATGATGTAGCTTTAGTAAATAAAAGACTGGGTTCAAGCTCTCTGGTCAGAAGAATGATGAGCATCTCAGACAAGGAGAGAGCCCTTGACCCGACAGCTCGCATCCACTGCCAACCCCGAGTCATCATGGAACCAGCGCTGCTCCCTTTATCAGGACCCTCCTCGTGCTGAGGCTGGACCTCAGCAACTGAGCATGGAAGGCCTTCCCTGAACACGGTGGCCCCATCAAACAGCTGGGCACCCAGGCCGGGTAAAGGTGAGCAAAAGCCTGCCACGTGTACAAACTCCTCCTTTCCAAGCAAAGGTGTCTACGGCTGCTCTAGCTTCTTCAGTGTGGACTCACACCAATGGCTCCAGGAAGTTTCTAGGCCTTTAGCCTTTGATTAGAGTCTTTCTTGTTTGGAGGAGTCCAGTTCTCTGCTTCTGTACCAAGTAGACAATTACTGCGAGACAACCTAGATCCAATTGTGTAAGCCAAGCTAATAAATCTTCTTTTGTAATGCACATATATGTATATATATGCATATACATACAGACATACATCATACATACATACATACATACATCATACATACATACATACATACATCATACATACATCATACATACATATATCATACATACATACATACATCATACATACATACATACATCATACATACATACATACATACATACATCATACATACATACATACATACATCATACATACAGACATACATCATACATACAGACATACATCATACATACATACATCATACATACATACATACATCATACATACATCATACATACATATATCATACATACATCAGACATACATACATCATACATACATACATACATCATGCATGCATACATACATACATATATACACACACATACATACATACATACATACATACATACATACATACATATGCATGCTGACACAGCCTCATCCTAAGGTTGAGAGAGTCTCTACTGACTTTCCTGGTCCAGAGCTTAAGTCTGTCCCTTCAGTGGTGTTTGCACAGGTCCACACCCTGCTGACCTGCACAACTGTCTCAGAAAGCTGGCTATCCACACAGTGCTTTGCAGCTTGCTTTTGGGTGAGTTTTAATCATTTAACACCCTCTCTCTGCCCGAGGACAGCACACTCCATTCCGTCCGCCATGAGAAGATGCCTTTCACACTGCACTACTACTGTTGCCGACTACATACTCCTTATGTTCACATATGGTAAGGCCCCTCAGTTGGGCACTCTTTGCAATGATTCCCAGCCTAGTTTCCAATCCCCAAACCCTATAATGTCTCAGCTTGTTGGCTCACACATCCTAACTACCCAGAACCCTCCAGCCCCATGACCTAGAGTACCTCACAGGCCTCAGCTCCTCCTCCTCCCGAGACAACCATCTCTCCCATTGCTCCTGAACCAGTGAACGCCTTACAAAGGCCCTCCCTTGGTAACTAGCAGGGCCTGAAGCTAGGAGCCTGCTCTGCCTTGCTCCTGCCTGGTGTACTGGTTGGTGTCTCTGACCTTTCTCTCATGATGAGCTAGATGAGCTACTATGTGCTGGCTACCCTCATGGATGGCTGGAGTTGTGGCCTGAACGTGAGTCGGGACAAACTCCCTACAGTTGTTGTTGACTGCACACTCTGCGTGTTTCTGTACCAGGCTGAACTTTTCCCTGGGGCTTCACCGGTGTTCCACCTTGCTGGGACAACCTGAGAATTTCAAAGCTCCCCTGGTCCCCAGGGTGATTATGTCAGTATGGGCAAAGCCCAGACTGGGAACTGTGAGTGGAAGACAGCTACAGTGGGCATTTCCCAGGTGCACTGGGTGAACGGCTCGCTTGTGAGGAGAGAGGAAAATACTCTCATTTTTGTGTGCTGAATGGAGCTGTGCACTTGAACGGTTTCCAGGGAAGACATGGGGAGAGACAGGTGATAAATTTGGTCCCCAGATACTGGGAGTCCTAGGGTCTCCTGTGTCAGGAGTCCATAGAAAGAGCTAGAGGCTTCTCTATCCCTCACACAGGGCTTGTCTGGTTCTCTAGCCAGATGTGTATCATGGCCTTGGAGGAGACTGAGAAGAAAGGGACCAAGCTGCCTCCTCCCTGCTGCCAGGTGGCACATACACGTTCTTCTGGAATGGTGACGTGGTGACATTTTCTACATGGTGCTAGAAGGACTGGCACCTGTTTCCCTAACTGGCCATAGGACCTGGGAAAGTTGCCCTTATCAGTGGGGCAGGATTTAAGAGGGGACAGGAGGGGCTCGTAAAGAGATCTTACAAGGGTAGAGAAGGCTACTCTTGTAATTGCCTTCAACTCCTCTTTGTTGACCACACACCTCTCCGCTGATAAGCGATCTCTATTGTGATAAGAGATATTGGACAATCTGGCCTTGACGACTTGGCTACACACGTGGGGGAGGATGTACACGCACACGTATGTGTGTGTGCACGTGGAGGCCAGGGGTCAACCTTGCATGTCACTTGACAGGAGCTGTCTGTCTTGTTGAGACAGTCTCTCTGTCTTGGACCTAAGGCTGACTGGCCAGTGAGCCTCAGGGATCTGCCTGTTTCCAACTGTCCAGTTCTGGGATTACAAGTGTGTGTCACCATGCCTGGCTTGTTTTACATGGGTGCTGGCGATCGAACTCTGGTCCTTAATCTTGCATGGCAAGCACTTCAGTGTTAGAGCAACCTCCCTTTCTCTATCACCCCACTGTGTGTGTGTGTGTGTGTGTGAGAGAGAGAGAGAGAGAGAGAGAGAGAGAGAGAGAGAGAGGCATGCAGGTGACAAATGTGTGAGTGTATATGTGGTATGTGTAATTTACATGTGGGGGGCAACATGTATGTATGAGTGTAGTGGGGTGTACTAGATATGGACCTGACCTTGTCCAGGCCGAATAGTCCTACTGAACTTGCTGAGCTTGGCTCCCCTACTTTCTTCTGTTGTTTTATTTATTTATTTACTTTTATTTTATGTACACTGGTTATTTGACTGCATGTGTATCAGTGTGAGGGTGTCAGATCCCTGGAACAGGAGTTAAGACAGTCGTGAGCTGCCATGTGGTTGCTGGGAATTGAGCCTGGGTCCTCTGGAAGAGCACTAAGTGCTCTTAGCCACTGAGCCACGGCTCCAGCCTCCTCCTCTACTTTCTTTAAAGGCTTCTTTTCTCTTCTTTGAGATGGAGTCTTGCTCTGTAGTCTAGTCTACCCTGACTCATGATGGCTCAGCCTCTCTAGTGCTGGGATTACAGGTGTGCACGGACGGACTACCATACCTGACTCAAAAGCCTCCTGAATGGCTCCCAATGTATCACAACCTTCTGTGAGAAAGCTGGTGCATCTTTTTGTCATATGTGACTAAGTCAAAAGTATGAGATAGAGATAAAACTGACCGGAATTCAGCTGCTTGATGATAAACTCTATCTGGCGGGTCATTTCGGCGCTGCCTTCTTTGATGAAGCATCGCAGGATATCCTCCATTCCCTAGGCGCAGTGGGGAGAGGGCAAACGTGTCAGGGTGGGGTGTGAAGGATCACCTTCAGTGAGGTAGTTTCACCTAATACCAAAGGTATATACTTTTTTTTTTATTTTGAGGAAAGGGTTTTTAAAATAAAAATTATCTGCTTGGTATTAAACATTCATTTTAAAATTCACAGTGAAATGGTTTTCTTCTTGGTTGACTCCTCGACTTAATTATAACATTATAATACACTTAGAAAGAAACCCGAAGAGATCATTAGCCTGCACCGGATGCCTGTATCCCAGACTCAGGTGCATTCACACCACTGCCTTCAGTTTACATGATTTCCATGTACTTTGGGAAGATGAGTTCTTTCCCATGCTTCCCCTAAGTTTATACACACTGCCTTCTGAATTTTAGGGTCATTTATGATCTTTGAAAAGCTGAACCACATGTTTTGAACAGTGAAATTCCCATTCTATCAAAAAGCATGATGGAGGGACCAGGGAGCTGGCCTGGCAGGGAAAAGCACCAGCTGCACAGGCCTGATGATGACCTGAGAACAACCCCGGAGCCCGTGTGAAACGCCCGGTGCGGCAGTGTACAGCTGTGGTACCAGCATTCTTACAGGATACAACAGGTAGAGACAGGCGGTGAGACTGTGAGGCTGAGTAAGACGCTCAGCAGCAGAAACAAGAGACGCTGCCTCAAAACAAGGCAAGAGAACTGATGCCTAATCCTTGCCTGTGACTTTTCTATGTGTGCACGCTGCCCCACCTCCCAAATAAACAAAAACTACAGTTCTGAAGTTTTCGGGGCAGAATCTTAAAATGTAGCCCTGGCTAGCTGAAATTCACTATGTAGACCAGGCTGGCCTTAAATATAAAAGAGATATGTCTGCCTCTGTTTCCCAAGTGTTGGGATTAAAGGCGCCGGCCACTATATCTGGCCTAATTAAAAATTTAAAGACAGAGTCTGTTGAGAGCCCTTATTGATCTTACAGAAGATCCAGGTTTAATTGCCAGCATGGCAGCTCACAGTTATCTATAACTCTAGGTCCAGGGTATCTGATGCTTTCTCCTGCTTCCCTGGACAGGAGGCATGCAAGTGATACACACACATACATGTGCAGGTGAAGCATCTACACATATAAAACTAAAGGAAAAGCCATAAAAAATGATAGTTATTACACTGTGCCACTGTAACACAAGGATGCCAGAATTTTCCTCTCTTAAGAGAACTAAAGCAAACTTGGAGGTAAGATACTAAGGTAGGCACAGTGCAGTCCCCCTCCCTCCTCCTCCTCCACAGCACTGGAATGTATTGTGCTGGATCAAACAAGGTTATCTTGGCACCAAGAGGGGAAGCATGTCTAAAAATGAACCAAAAACAGAACAATTGGCGTCCAGAGAGGCGGGCTCACCAGCAGGCAAAACACCCATCAAAATGCTTAACGCTTGCCCTTGAATTTGTGGTGACATGAGCCAGTATGGTCCTTATTTTATTTTTATTTATTTATTTATTTATTCTACTTATTTATTTATTTATTTATTTTTGGTTTTTTGAGACAGGGTTTCTCTTTATAGCCCGGGCTGTCCTGGAACTCACTCTGTAGACCAGGCTGGCCTTGAACTCAGAAATCCGCCGGCCTCTGCCTCCCAAGTGCTGGGATTAAAGGCGTGCGCCACCACTGCCCAGCTCTTATTTTATTTTTAAATAAATAAATAAATAAATAAATAAATAAATAAATAAATTTTGGACAGAAGGTCTTACTATGCAGTCCTGGTCCTTATTTTATTTTTATTTTTAAATTTTATTTATTTATTTATGAGGCAAGGTCTCACTATGCAGTTTTGGCTGGCCTGGAACTCACTATAGATATACCTGCCTCTGTCTCATAAGACCTGGGATTAGAGGTGTGAACCATCATGCCTAGCTATGTTCTCTTTTTAAATAGCCTGGTCTAGAGGCAATAGCTACAATAGAATCAAAGATAGTCCATATAGCTTGGATCACATGGAGTTTGGATTGTGATCCTAGCTCCCTGAGTCAGGATCCATGCTACCTAACTCAAATCGCTCAACTCCTCCCAAAGACAAGATATATCACTGGTACTACTTATGCAGATGTCTGTGTCTGTCAAAATGTAAGGCCTGTATGCAACTGTATGTAAGAGCTGTGCAACTTATACCTAATAAATGGTGTCTAGTTCAGCGGATGGCACAATGGGTGAGTGAGCAGTGAAATGGCACCTGCTGGGTCTGGGAGGGATGGGTGGCTCAGATGAGAGAGCACAGCTCAAGCCCTGGATTAAAGGAGGTGTCCCTGTGGGTACAGTGAGAAGATCTGAGGGCTGGACCAGAACCTTGGAGGACAGCATTCCAGGGGAGGCTGGGATAGAAGCATAGAGTAAACCATTGAGGAATAGTCTGGAAGAGAGGAAAGGCTGATGGGTGTCCTGCAGGCCAGGACAGAGTGTTTCAAAGAGGACTGAGAGACTCTGGCAGCTCCTGTGGGGCCAGTCAGCCATCTGGGCTCATCCTATAGTCATCCGCCAGCCTGCCTTAGTGCTTGGCTGCCAGAAGAGCTAAACATTCTCTCTCGGCTCACACAGTGGCCTCTTCCCCGTTTCCATCCCATGAGAGTGAGCTAGGGGCTCTCTATCATTAGGAGACAGTGACATGCTCAATCCTAACACGCCAACAACAACCACAATGGCTACTGAGAGCTTAGGAACACCCAGAGACAAAGAGCTTGTTCCAATTCTTCTCTTGCAGAGGCAATTCTGTGATCCGCCCATATCTTTATAGATCACTTGAGTTCAATTGACGCTTGTTCTTACATCTCCAGTTTAGTTAGCACGTGGAAAGCAAACATCTCAGCCCCTGTGTAGTTAGGAGACTGTTTGGACACCTCACAGCAAATACTCCAGTGAAAAATCTCACATATAGTTGTTAAAACCACATATTGTAGGTAATGTTTAATCTAAATTATAGAAATGAGAAGGCATAAAAAATAACAGTATTCTCTGGGTGTGGTGGTGCATGGCACCATGAAACCCTAGCATTCAGGAGGCCAGGGCAAGAGGACCAAGGGCTCAAGCCTGCCCTGGGCTAGAGTAAGACCCTGCCTCCAAAAATAAACAACAAAACCTGTTATTTCATCCTAAAAGCAATGGCCTGACACTTCAGATCACCCTGGACAAACACAGGGTTGGGAAGGGTGACGGGGACTCATCCCTTGTCACTCAGATGCCTCAGAGGGCACAGTGTGCCAAGTAGAAAGAAGTGAAGGACTTAGCCCAGCTATAGTTAAACAGTGAGACAAAGGCAAGTCTACCTTAGTGGAAATGCTTGAGGCCAGAAATGTTTGGAATTTTTAGATTTTGGAATATCTGCATATACATAATAAGTAGGATATCTTTAGACCCAGGTCTAAACAAAATTAATTTGTTTCGGATTCATATACCTTCAATATGTAGCCTTGCAATGATTTACATACTGTATCTACCGTATCTATATAATATAGTATAGAATATAGACACACACACACACACACACACACACACACACACACACTCAGTCAGGTGTTATTCCTGAGACTGTCTGTCTGAATAGCCCACACTGGCCTCAGTCTCACAATCCTTCTGCTTCTGTCTGCTGAGTGCTGCGACCATGACTGACCCTACCTGGCTATACAACATTTTTAACAGTTTTGTGGATGAAATGGTTTCATGGTGTGTATTTTCCATCTATGGCTTTATGTCTGTGCTCAAAAAGTTTCTGATTTTGAAGCCTTTTAAAATTTAAAAATTCTGCACTTTTAAATTGATTTCTTTAAGATTTATTTATTTATTTATTTATCTATCTATTTATTTATTTATTTTTGTTCCATGCATCTGCATGTCTATTCTTGTTTTAATACCATGTTATTTTTTTCTCTCTTTTTTTTGTTTTTTTAAAGGTATTTTTGAATGGTTTTATTAGCATATATTAATATAGAATGACACTTTCACACATGTATATAATACATTAAAATCAATTCCCTCCCTCATTCCCCCCCCCTTTTTTTTTTTACAAAATGGTTTATGTTTTATTCTAAAAAACATTCCTACAAACTTCTGAATTACCAGGTATCCAAGGTTGGCCAGAAAATGAGTCACTAGGAACTGCCTGTCCTGTTCACACACTGCTGACATTACAGGCACATGCATCCACACTAGGTTTTTTCCCCACCACTGGGAGATCCCACTTGGGTCCCCATGCTTGCAAGACAAGCTGTTTACCAACTGAGCCACGTCCTCAGCTCTTCAGTAGAGATTTTCACAGTAAGGACGTGATGTAAGAACATGACGTTGCTTTGCCCTTTCGTCAAACACTAAACACTACCTTTAGATACAGAGTGTTGTCCCATCAAAGTACTGCTCATAGATACGGAGAGCTATGGAGTGTCTAACTTGAAGTTAGACATTTGGGAATTTCTTTTTAAACAGAGCACCCCTTCCTATCAATGCAAAGACTGCAAATCTACTATTTTAGTAACCACAATAAAATGCTCAGGGAGTCTGCAATATGGGGATTAAAGTTTTATTTATTTATTTTATATGTGAGCACACTGTTGCTGTTTTCAGACACACCAGAAGGCATCGGATCCCATTACAGACGGTTGTGAGCCAGTATGTGGTTGCTAGGGTTTGAACTCAGTGCCTCTGGAAGAGCAGTCAGTGCTCTTAACCGCTGAGCCATCTCTCTAGTCCCTTTAAATTGATTTCTAATTAATTTAATTGATAATTAAATATACTCATTGCTGTTTCTTTTCTCATGTATACATTTAAGATGCACATGGGTTTTGCAGATTTATTTTAATCTTTATATGTGTTTGTGTGCACTTCACATGAGTGCAGGTGCCTCAGAGGCCAGAAGAGGGAGTTGGAGTTACAGGTGGGTGTGAGCTGCTCACAGTGTGATGGGAACTGAACTTGGACCTCAAGAAGAATTTCTCTGGCCCCCGTAGTCTGAATTTCTTGTGTTAGGATGCTCAGCTTGCCCCAACTGAGATGGCAGTATTAGCGTGAGAGGAACCAATTGGATATGGCCAGATTTCTCACTGGACTCAAGGCTGTAGTAGTGCTGGGATGTGTCTTAGTGGCAGAGTGCTTTCCTAGTCAATAAAGCCACATTAATTTCATCCCTGGTAGTTTGGGGAACAGGAGAGAGACAGAGAGAGAGGGAGGGGAGAGAGACAGAGACAGAGAGAGACAGAGAGAGAGAGAGAGACAGAGAGAGAGAGAGAGAGAGAGAGAGAGAGAGAGAGAGAGAGAGAGAGAGAAGAAAAGGGGGGGCAGAGGGGGACGGAGACGGGGAGAGGTTTTAATTTCTAGTGTGAGACACTGCAGCACAGGTGTGGAAAGTTCTGGTAGCAAACAGGGGATGGACGTACCCCTGGCTGTGTGACTCTAGGCAGAGATGGCTACTCCCAAGTCATCCATAAGGAAATGGACACAACATAGTCAGTACTTCAGGGCCTCTGAGCAAGTAGGAGAAAGCACCTGTCCCAGTACCAGAAAGAGCAGTGAGCACCACTAGGTGCACCTACTGTGTGCGTGTACATGCACATATAGTGTGTATGTGGAAGCCAGAAGGTAACTCCCAGGAATTGGCTTTCTTCTACTGCTCTGGTTCTGGAACAGAACTCAGGTTGTCAGGCTTGGTGGCAGGTGCCTTTACCCACTGAGGAACCTGCCACCCCTAAATAATACTAGTTAGTTTTAATGTGGAAGGCAATTTAGTTCCAATTGTTGGGTGTGTTTATACAGACAGTTCTTAAATGAATCATGTCTTATTTAACTATTGACGTGATTTTAGATAAACAACTAAAGATTTAGTGATTTTCTTAAAAAAAATAAACAAACAAAACCAATGGGCGGAATGTTCTTGTGGTCTCCCGTGTTCTGAGTGTGGAAACACATTTAATCCCTTCACCACAGAATTTAATGTGTACACAGCTACTCTGGTTTCAGGTGGCATTCAGAAAAAAGGTCAAAGCTTTAGTGGTTTTGCTGGCTCGCTTTAGAAACAACTGTCCTCTCAACATCAGACACTGACCACTTGGCCGTTGTTTCTGTGCTTCAAATATAAGCACAAATGTAAACAAAGCAAGGAAAACTCTTCTTCCCAGTAACTGTGGTGCAAGGCAGTTTTAGAAGCTGCCAGGAAACACCTCCAACATTACAAAAATAAGCCTGCTAGAATTTCCCTAACACTGTGGCTTTTTACCATTTACAATTTTTACCATTTCCTCATTTCCTCATGAGATTCTGAGGAAAGCAACAGATTCTCCCTTGAGAAAAACCACCAGTGTATCTTTACTCACAGTTTTGGGGAGTCTGCCCTGGAGGAAGTGGAGGTAGCCCTATCTCCACAGTACTGACTCATGGTCCTGGGAGGACTCTGTGAACTGCTCAGAACTTTTTTTATCTTCTTCTTTTCTGTGAGTCAGGGTCTCACAAGAAGGTCTCATATGAGCCAGGCTGGCCTCAACTCACTAGGTAGTTCAGAACAGTCTCAAATTTGCAGCGATCTTCCTGCCTCAGCCTCCCAAGTACTGAGATTGTATTCATGTACCACTATGCCCAGCTCAGAACATCCTCTTACCATGGCTCTGGCCTCCTCACGAATGGACGGGATGGAGAGGATACTGTATAGGGCTCCATTCACATATGGCTGTATCTTTAAGGGGAGCAAAAAGAGAAGTCATTTGCAAGTTTTCAAATACTATACAACTCAATTATCTGAAGTTAGACTTAAGAACAGTCTATAGGTAAGGGGAGAGTTGGTATCCCATCCTTCAGAACCCAGAATGCACATTTCACATGAGACACCTCCATTTGTTTGTGACAGCTGCAACTGAAGCCAAACCTGAATCCACTACTCTGTCTCTATCTTCTTCCTGCTGTGTCTCACTGCTTAAATGATGTGATTTCTGGCATCCTGGTCACTCAGAACAGAAACTTGGCGTCACCATGGAGTCTGCTCTTTCCTCCCAGGGTTTGCTTGCTAAGTGTTATTGCTAAGAGTCCTTTCCCTCATGGGCTGCTACTGTCCTTGGACAACAGTGACACAGCTGAGGATACATTGTCTCTAAACCAGACCCGCTTCTAAAGCTTGCCCTGTGGTCCAATAACTGTACAGCTAAGCCTTCTTGCCTGTTCCATTCGATAAGAGCCTCATACCCTAAAAATATTAGCATGCAGATGAATATGTTCGTCTTGTTCCTGATGGCTCTGGGTCTTATCTTTCAAGACCAGGGCTATCTAACTCAGGGTACATAGGTGCAACCTTTGTCTGCTGCAGCTAACATTCTTCCAGCTTCTAAAATACACACACATATATATTTATGTTCTTTCTTTCTTTCTTTCCTTCCTTCCTTCCTTCTGAGCCAAGTTTGCTTCAGCTCTACATAATAAGAAATGATGACGACATTGAATTTCTGACTCTCCTGCCTCCACCTCCCAAACCCTAGGTTACAGATAGCACACCTGGTTTATGTAGCGTTGGGGATTGAAGGCATGGCTTTCTGCACACCAGACAAGGGCTCTATTGCTCTTAAGCAAATGTACTGGCAACAGCTGATGACTTGAATTGACTCCTTTGGTCTCAGCCATTTGCATTTCATTATGTCAGGGGAAGAAAGTGATTCCTGCAGCACTCACCTGCCTGAGTTGAATACAATTAAGAGTCTCAGAGAGCAATCAAGTCAGGATTAAAGTAGTGAAAAATTCTTTGGCTGTTGTAGTGGGAAATATGAAAGGCCCAGCATGAACTGCCATGGCCATCAATGTCTACCTGCTGAAGATGCCAGTGTCAGCCAGGTGATGCAGCCGTGGGAATAAACTCGACCCGAGCTGCCTGCCTGGAGTGGGAACAGACGCGTGACAATCTAGACTCCTCCTGACTCAGGGATCCTGCCAAGCCTGCCTGCTCAAAGATGCCCTGGGCCAGATTAGTCAAGACATGTCTGCTTGTGGGTGTGGCTTCAGCTGCAAATGCAAAGGGATGCCCTCACCACAGCACTCTGAAGGCTGAGACAGGAGAATCACAAGATTGAGGCCAGCCTGGGCTACATAGAAGGTTTTTGCCACGCTGGGCTACTGTGAGATGCCATGTTTTCTGCAAAGACACTTATAAAAAGGAAGTGAGAGATGAATCACCTGTATCTATCTGGGTTTGTGAAGTTGTTGTCCTACATATTTTTAAAAAGGTAGACAATAACACCAGCTGTGGTGGTAATCGTCCTTCTGGAGGGCAACCTGAGCCCTGCATGTGCTGTGAGCTGGGAGCCCTGAGGGCCACATATGTCGTGGAAGCTCAGTGTAGGGCTCCATGGGACAACTGTGGAGCTATCCCAGAGGACAACCGTTGTAGTGGAGTGGAAAGCCATCAATGCCCCGCCCACAAGAAATAAGATATGTACCAGGGTACGGTGCAAGCCTGCAAGCCAGGGAGCACTGCAGTAGTGAAGCTGAAAACAGGAGACCCACAAAGCAATAGAGAACGTTCCCTAGATGCCAGGGGACGGTCGTCAACAAATGAGCTCAAGGATGCAATATCTTTTATGCAAATTAAGTTTAGCATAATTTAAAAATATAGCACCAGGGCTATTTTGAAAGCACGAGTATCCACAGACATACAACAAATAGCAGAGGACACGGGGGTAAGAATCCAGCTAGGATACATGATAACAGAAAGTAAGGTAGGACACGGACCTGGCTAGCTCAGTGGGAGCAGAGCACCAGAAAATGAGGCATGAAATGTTAGAAACTATACAAGATGTAAGTCACATTCAAAAATGGCCAGAGGAGGGGTTGGGAGACGGCTCAGAGTGGGTAAGCTGCTTGCTATGCAGGCAGAATGCCCTGAGTTCAGAGCATCGAACTTATGTACAAACTGGGCAGGTATGGTGTGGGACTACATAAGGGTATCCTGGGTCATGGTTGAGCAGGTACTTAGAACCCCGAGATTCTCCGTGGAATTCTGCGTGAGAACCGGCAGGAGTTTGGTCCCTCCCATCATCTAGGATCCTGAAAACAGTCACATTTCCATAGAGTCACATAGGCCAGGCTATAGGCCTCAGGCCCTAGAGATTTACATACTAATGAAGGCCAGAGGGCAGAGAAAATTAAACATGCCTCCCCCAGATCCTCCCCCAATCCTCCCCCTTTCTCCCTCCCTATATAACTCGGGACTGCCCTGAGTTTTGGGGGGGTACGCCTAGATCCATCTATTATCCGTCATGACAATAAATCTTTTTGGAACCAAGGACTTCCTCATGTTACTGGGGCCTGCCGCTGCCAAGGCCCTCAGGCCGCTGGAACCATAAGAATCCTCCTCCCTGATGTGAGACCCGCCACACTTGCGCCGATGTGGCGGCCTTTTTAAATTTTCCCCACAGTATGGTAGTACCTATAATCCCAGCACTTGGGAGACAGAGACTGGGGATCATTAGGGCTGCCAGACTGACAGCACAGGAGAGCTCTGGGCTCTGATGGTTCTTGCCTTAGTAAATAAAGTGGAAAGCAATCAAGGAAGATACCCAATACCAAAATCAGGCCTTCATGGACACCCACACACATCTGCACTCAAACACATGTAAACTCATCCACAGATGCATGCACACATGCAATATGTCTAATGCAGCAACTGCCCAAACCAGCCCCTTGTGTAAGAGGTCACAAGCACCTAGGTCACCATTACAGTCCCCTACTCCACCACAGGGGCCAGCAGCCTGAGTACCTCATGGTTTTCGTGGCCAAGGAGATCCGAAAGAACTTTCAACATGAGACCTGCCACCTTAGCACACATGTTCTTTCCTGTGGGAAACAAAGCAACATAAAATGCATGTCAGACAGGCTAGCACCAACTATGTTTGACCTTGAGCTGGTCACTTATGTCACAAATCGATTCTCTCCTTTTTAAAATGGCTTATTATGCTGGTAGGTTCGGTGGTAGTGCATGCTTATAATCCAGGGAGGCAGAGGCAGGAGGATCTCTGTGAACTGGGGGCCAGCCTGGTCTACACAGGGAGGACAGCCAGGGCTACATAGAAAAACGTTGCCTCAAACAAACAAACTAAATAGATTATTAGCATCTGCTCCAAAGGGAGGTACAGAATTAAGGAAACCCACATAAGCCTTGAGAACTCAGAAGCTGGTGGGTCCTGACAACAGTCAGAATATCATGGACTATGTGGGCATTCTGTATCACCAAAGACATCACCAAACCACAAGCTGACGACAGGAAAAGGTGGCTGGGATCTGACAAGCATGCTGAGAGCTGGGGCTTCCACACAGGCTATTCTTAGAGCAGAGGACTGAGCAGCAGCTGCTTACTCGGTGAACAGCACATGCTTGACTCAGGCATGAAGCCCTGCAGGTGGGGACCGGATGACAAGCAGCTGAGCCAGATGGCTTCTTGCCCTCCTTTCTAACAGACCCTAGGGGATGGAGGCAGCCCAGCTGGACCAAGCACATCTTCTAAGGCATCTCATACGGCAGGTGACAGAGTGTCTGAGAGGGCTGATGCGTGTATACAGAAGCTAAAACTTCCATCTCCAGTGAGTAGGTAAGTATTTTGGTTTGCTTGTGGGGGAGAGGGGGTTACATTTGCTTTTGTTTTTGAGACAAGGTCTTAGGCAGCCCAAGCAGCTTCTAACCTGTAGTACAGCCAAGGATGACTTTAAATTTCTGATCCACCTGCCTCTGTCTTCTGAGTGCTGGGGTTAGAGGCATGCACTATCATGCCTAGTTTATGTGGTGCCGGGGACTGTGCTAGGCAAGCATTCTACCAACCGAGCGACATTCCCAATGGGTGAGAAGAAGTCTGTGGTGCCCATGTGAACCTCCATCTCCAGGAGATAGAGAATAATGAGCATGACTTAATGCCACTGCTTCTGCCACCAACTTAATCCCAGAGGCTGCTGGGAGCACACCTCTGTCTTCAGTGGCAGGGATCATGACTCTTAACTTCCTATCTTTGAAAAATGTAACCAAGATGAGAATGGATTGCCTTTCCTCTCCAGAAGGGCATCGCATACATACAAAACTGCATAGAGATTGCTAGCTTCATACCTAGCTAGAAATGCTTTACTCACCCCTGTCCTAAATTTCCAGGAGGGAGACAGAAAGCAAGGTCTACTGGGCTCACTGAGAATGTAGATATGTGGGTAGGTCTCTGCCCGTCCATCCTCCATACCAGGACATGTATATATAGGCATGGGTGTGTATGGATTACTGGGGGGCTACGACACCTGCACTGCGGAGGCAGAGGTTCATGAGCAACGCCACGGAGTACTCCAACGTGTAGTCAGACAGGCAGTCAGGGTCCTTTAGCAGGTCGATCAGCCAGAAGATGAGGCCGTCCCGAATCATCGCCGTCTGCAGAGGACGCCTGAGAGGAAGGAACAACCTTATTAGATGAATTAACTGCCGGGAAGAGAGTGGTCCAGGGTACAAATAGGGATCAAATGGAGCTATGAAAAACAGACTCTGGGGAACAGCCTATTGTGAAGTCCATTCAGCTGGGACAATAAAAATCCTCTACCTTTTAAGGACACAATAGTTTAATGAAAGATTGAGCAGTAAGAAGGCCTCCGGCTTTGAAAATCTCCTTTTCAATATCTAAAACTAGCAGACTGCTACTTCAAATATGTAAATGTTATCAATAGCTTTGGTTTACTTGACCAGGCAACTGATCTCAGAAATACTACTTTGAAACAAAATCAATTTGGGGGTGGGAAGCTCGCAGGATTACATCTTCCATGATTCCATGTACTGGACATGCACAAGCTAGGTAGAGCTACAGACAGGTATAGGCGACTGCCTAGGGCTGGGGAAGGAACGAAGAGCGGCAACAACTAGTGGGAGACTTCTGTTCTGTACTGATAGAAATGCTCTAAACTGGGACTGGTGAAATGGCTCATGGGTAAGGGTACTTGCAGCCAAGCTGGATGACCTGAGTTTGATCCCTGGGACCCACATGATGGAAGAAGAGAACGGATCCTTACAGATCACCCTCTGACCACCACAATACACACAGGTAAGTAAGTAAGTAGATGGGAAATCTGACCCACAGTCCGGTTGTGGTGGCTGCAGAACTCTGCAAAGTTGTAAAAACCAGGCCTGCCCATTTATGATGGCGAGAGATGGCTCAGCCGTTAAACGCACTTGTTGGTTTTGCAGAAGATCTAGGTTCAGTTCTCAGGACCTACATCACAGCCCAGAACCATATGCAACCCTGTTTTAAGGGATCAGATGCCCTCTTCTGACCTCTAATATGTATAACACTAGGCACACACATGTTGCCCAAACATACACACAGGAAAAACAGTCAAATGCATAAAATATTTTGGAAATAATGTTTTACTCCGTAGCCTTGGCTGTCTGGCACTCACTATGTAGACCACGGTGACCCCAAACTCAGAGCTCCACCTGCCTCTGCCTCTCAATAGAACAAACATCTAAGGTGTTTTAAGACCACACGAGATCTGGTACAAAATGAACATGAATTGTTGAAGAGTTGGCTCAGTGGTTAAGAGCACCTGATGCTCTTCCAGGGGACCTAGGTTCAGTTCCTAGCAATGGCATGGTAGCTCACAGTCATCTGTAACTCCAGTTACAGGTGCTTCTGAGGGCACCAGGCACGCACATGTGGATATACATATATTCAGGCAAAATACTCATACACATAGCATATATTTTAAAAGAAATACTTAAAAAAAAAAAAGAAAAAGCACATGACTTAAGTTCCAAGTCGTGCCTGGTCCAGGCCAAGACTCCCACAGAACTACTGGTCACATGATGTATAATGGGAAGCAACTTCACTATGGGGGTTTACCTCTAAGCCAAGCACCTGGCTGGCACTAATGACCTGATAGTAGCTAGAAGAAGGCACTGGCATTCACTGTAATGCCTTCCTCTATCCCCAGCAGCCTTGAACAGCAGAGCTTAGAGAGAAGTTTCCAACTGTAGCCTGGAAAGTCATCTAACTTCTCCTAAGTGTTAGCAGAAAGATACCATTTGCATCCTACAATTAAGTAATAAGTGAGTGGTGGTTCAACAACAACAGCACACAGCCAGCCAGCCAGCCAGCCACACACACACATACAAACACACACATACACACACACATACACACACACACCAGCCTGAGTTCAAAGGCAGACACTGACCAGTGGTATGGTCCTCACCTGAGACTGAACTTCTGCAAGGCCCCAAGGACATTCTCACGAGTGATGACGTCCTTGTCTTCCTCCTTGAGCCTTCCCTCCAGCATCCGCAGTACCTTTGTGTTCTGGGCCAGGTAGAGGCGACCTAGTAATGTGCCAGAGAGGAAAAAAGGAAAGAGGTAAAGAATTAAATGATATGTGCCAATGTCACTTTCTAGTAAAGATCTACATAGGGTACACTAGAAAGTTCTGGAGGAAACTATTAAAGTGTATTTCCCCTGAGTCAGGTGTGGTGGCTCATGCCTGTAACCTCAGTACTAGCGGAGGCAAGGCAGAAGGACTGTGAGTCTGTGGCCAGGCTAGTACATACAGAGGGGGATCCTGTCTCAGAACAGTTTACTCAATCACTGACTGACAGAATACCCAATGGAAAGCCTTTCTTCCTGTAAGCTGAACATAAGCCATCATCACAGTATGTGACACCTAACCTTGAAGGACCGTCAAGGAGAAAGAGGAATGGAGCTATGTTGTGAGCCTTCACAGAGAGGCAGCCAACAACTGCCTCTGCCACACTCCACTGCCCCTTTTAGACACACTCAGGGCCTGATGGGGGCAGAGGCCCTACCTGAGACACCTTAGTAAGTATAAAGTCACTACTAAACTTCTGTAGGTTTCTGCATCGACAGATATTAATTTAAATAGGATGGTTAGATGGGTGGATCTCAGTGCATATGCTGGCTTATAATAAATGTTTGCCAAATGAAGAGAATAATGAATTAAATACACTTGGTGAGTAGCATGTATTCATTACCTGAAAACTCCTTTTATTCACATTAAAAACACCTTGAATGGGGCTGGGTGTGGTAGCATACACTCCCGGCACTCAGGAGGCAGAGGCAGGCAGATCTCTGTGAGCTCAAGGCTGTCCTGATCTACAGAGTGAGTGCCAGGACATCCAGGGCTACACAGTGAGACCCTGTCTAGAAAAACAAACAAATATGCAAAAACAAAACAACAAACTCAAACAAATAAGAATCTAAGGAAACTATCCTGGGTATGTCTGAATGAGTACACTTGTGAATGGGGGAGTGCGGGAGGCAAGAGATATACATGGAGGTCACAGGACAATTTCAGATGTCAGGTCTTTCCTTCACTATATTTTAAAGCAGGGTCTCTCTTGTTCTGGCACAGTGATGTCGCACAAACAATTCTGTCTCAGCCTCCCATCTCACCCTAGGAATACTAAGATCCATGTCTGACATGTTAGTGGGTTCTAGGGATCCATACCAGGTCACCAGGCGTAAGTAAGAGCTTTTACCAGCTGAGCGCTTTCACCTGATAATGGCCTTGTGTTGAGGTTTGGTCTTTTGCTATGCACTGTAATGCTAAGTACAGGCCCCCAAGACCAGAGATGAGAGCCTGCGCTTAGATGCAAGTGATGCTATGTGACCTTGCCCCCAGGTTATTTCTGATTGGTAAATAAAGGTGCCTACTGCCTACAGCTGGGCAGAATTGAGATAGGCGGCGCTTGGTGTTCCCATCAGGGACAATGTTTTATTATTTTTGAAACTTTCAAATCCTTTGAAGACAGAAGGAAATGGTGAAGTGCTTGCTAGAATAAGCTTTACTTGTTTCACCAAACATATATTGGCAAGTAGGAATTATAAAAAATAGTATTACCTATCATACAGTTTAAAAAATTAAATAAGAGTTATAAATCCTTATATATTATAAAATAAACTCCAAAGGCAAGAAAATCTGCTCTGACAGAAACTCAGGCATAAGAAATAATTTTCGTCAGACAGTGGTGGCGCACACCTTTAATCCCAGCACTTGGGAGGCTAAGGCAGGTGGATCTCTGAGTTCGAGGCCAGCCTGGTCTACAGAGTAAGTTCCAGGACAGCCCAGGCTATAAAGAGAAACCTTGTCTCAAAAAACAAAACAAAGCAAAACAAAAAAAAAAAACAAAAAACAAAAAACAAAAAAAAAGAAAGAAAGAAAGAAAGAAAGAAAGAAAGAATTTTCACAAGATATGTTAGAAATTTAAATGGGGGATTTGGGGTACTTTAAGCAATACTGGAAAACACTCATTTTACAGGAACGCTAGGTTGCTTTGCCAGGGCTGCTCTGCTTAGAGGAAAACATCATCTCACCTTCAGATAAGGATGCCAGGGCATTGATGAGCCTGGCCATGTACTGCCGCACAGCCTCGCTCTTGGAGTGCAGTAGCTGCAGCACGCTCCTCTGCAGAGAACAACCGTTGAGAGAGAGAAACAGTGAGGTTAGGAGGTGGAGAAGGGAAAGATGGCCTCTGCCTGGTTTGATGAGGGAAAGCACCGGCAACTAGAAAAGCAGGGCGCATCTGGCTGCTACCATTGACAGCTTTCCAGATGAGAGGACACACATTTGACTCAGGCCCCTCCTAACACGGAGGGACTATAGTAAATGGATTGTTTTTAAGACACAAATTCTGAAGAACTGATTAGATATCATGAGAAATGTTAACAGCACAGTTCTAGAAATAGGATGAAGACCTGAGGTCAGTCACAAGACAGTACTGGGCAAGGACAAATCCCCTTATTCCTCAACTGATTCCACCACTTATTCCTCAAAAGGTGGAGCACTAGGGACAAAGCCAGGGACAGTACAGACAGACAAAGAGAAGACAGAAACAAGATGACTAGACTGCGTTGTGCTACTCCTGTGACCTCGCAGCACAGGGGCAGGGAGGGAGGAGTATCCTAAGAGGGTAGCACTGAGTGTCTCAGCCTTGGGGCACACCAGGTCCACACCAGCAGGAAGCTACCAAAATGCAGAGAGGAAGTCATAGTGAAAGTGCACGCCTATCACCCCAGCACCGGGAAAGCCGAGGCAGGACAATCTCCAGTTTGAGGTCAGTGTAGGCTATAGTGAAACACTCTCAAAAACCAATGGCTACAAGGCTGGAGAGACAGCTCAGTAGCTAAGAGCACTTGCTGCTCTTGCAGAGGACCTGGGTTGGGTTCCTAGCACCCACATGCCAGCTATCAACCATGAACAACTTCAATTCCAGGGGATCCAATGCCCTCTTTTAACCTCCTCAGACATAGCATACACATGGTACACATACATACAGGCAAGCAAACATTCACACACAGTGTGTGTATCACTAGTGCCTGATTTAAGATCTCATTTCGAATTTCTCACAATGCGTGGAGGTTAGTTTTAACTGTCAACTTGACAGTCTAGAATCACCTGGGAAGAGAGTCTCAATGTGGCTTCTAGATCGGGCTGACCCCGGGATCCTCTAGGGATTCTCTTGATTTATGAGGAGAGACCTATTGTCAGTGTGGGCAGGCCTGGCTCCTGAATAGGGGTCCTGAGCTCTGAGCGAGGCTGAGCTGAGTGTAGGCCTGCATCCTTTTCTCTCTAGGGATCCGACCAGCTGCTCCACATGGCTGCTGCCTCCATCTGCTGGGCAAGGTGGACTGTGCGTTAAGACAAACTCTCCCCCAAGTTTCTTTTGTCACAGGGTTTTATCACAGCAACAGAAATGAAACCAGGCTAAGACACTGTACTCTGAGCCTCTGCTTAATGACTTGTAAAAGACAAGTTGTGATGCCCACATTCTAAGGTGGTATAAGAACCAACCACAATCTCTTATGGAAAAGCCCATAACAGAATGCTCTGCACACAGTAGGTATGTCTGGATATCAGATTTCTTTCCCTCTTTCCCTGGTACGAGTTGCACTGGCTTCTCGAGTTATACTTAATTTAACTTTATTTTTTGAGACAGAGTCTCTTTGTAGACTCTTGTCTCTTGGCTGTTCTGGTACTTGCTATGTACAGACCAGACTGGCCTTGGTCTCACAGAGATCCATTTGCCTCTGTCAAGTGCTGGGATTAAAGGTGAGCGCCATCACATCTTGTAATTAAATTAATCAAAATTACTTTAGATATTTGGCTTTAAAGTAGCTAGACAGCTTGGGCTACATTACTTACTTCTTGTAAGTAAAATGTAAGTAAATTTTATATGACTATAAATAGCACTCACCTTTCCCCAATAAATTTAGTTACTTAATATTTACAAGAGAGACCAGTTATGTCATTTCTGTTGAAGGTATATCTTTTTCTCAAAGCTCTCAACCTCTTGTGAACTAAAGTTCTCAGAAGAGGCTGTGCGTCTAAAAGCTTGCAGACTGCTTATCCTCTGTTGACTGGGGCTTTACAGAAGCAGGACAGCATCCTACATACCAACCACACTTTTATGTCTGTGAGTACACTGTAGCTGTCTTCAGATACACTAGAAAAGGGCATCAGATCCCATTACAGATGGTTGTGAGCCACCATGTGGTTGCTGGGAATTGAACTCAGGACCTCTGTAAGAGCAGTCAGTGCTCTTAACTGCTGAGCCATCTCTCTGGCCCACTCCTGATGTGGTCAGCCCAGACTCTGGGCCTTGTGAATGCTGGGATTAAAACTGGGTGCTGCGCTGCCACTGCCTGTTGTAAAATCTTAATGAGACCTTCAGGTTGGCAATGCCACATCCTAAATTTGAGAGTTACTAAGGAAGAAATAATTAGCCAGTCAGCTCAATTTTGCCTCTGAAGAGGCCAATCCACTTTGGAGTTATGGTGACCCAGGATCAGCGTTACCAAGGAGTCATCTGCCCTACAAGTTCTTTGATAATTTCAGAGAACTCTAAACCATTCCCTCTAAAAGAAACAAATAGACAGACAGACAGACAGACAGACAGACAGATAGATAGATAGATAGATAGACAGACAGACAGATAGGGCTGGGGATGAGCTTGGTCAGTAGGGTTCTTGTCTAGTAGATTATTTGTGAAGCCCTGACTTCCACCTCTAGCACCATATATAAGCCAGGCCCAGGCAACAAGCCTCCAATCCCAGCATTCAGGTTGTAGACACAGGAAGACCAGAAGGTCAAGGTCATCTTCAGCCTTCACAGTAAATTTGAAGCCAGCCTGGACACTGTGAGACCCTAACACCAACACCAACACCAAAACAAACACCAAGATACCAAATAACATGGTGGAATTACATCCTTCCATGGCTACAGAGATTGTAGCATTTGACAAAACCCACTATTGCAACACCAGCCGTAAACTCTAAAATTGGAGCATCTTTCAAGTGGGAGGAGGGAGGAGAGAGAAGGGAAGAGGGAGGAGGGATGAGGGAGGAGGGAGAAGGGAGAAGGGGAAACTAACAGAAAGGGGGCAGAGGGCATCAGGCCATCTGGCTTGCCTGGGAATCTCCAGAACGGAAGTAGGTCAAGAGGTGAACACAGACCCTCAAGCAGCTGAATAGGAAATGCCGGGCAAGCTCAGCCTTCGGACAGTGCCTAGAGAAACCAAAGCCTCAAGTCTGCTGAGGGCCTTTACTATCAAGGAAGGTCTGGCTGCCCCTCACTCACCTGGTTGTGGCTGTGGCAATCCAAGAGGTCATTGCTGATGTAGGCTTGCAGGACTGTCTCCCTCTGCTCTCCAGGATGGGACGTGGTCAGGCGCTGCAAAGAAAAACAAAAGCAACAAATTCCTACCCAGGAAGAGCGAGGCCATGACAAGTGAGCAGACAGTCAACCAGCAGGGCAGAAGGTGTGTGTGGGGTGGGGGAGGTGTTCAGAGAGAACTCTGGCTCAGAGCCTGGGGCCCAGGCTTCTTGCAGAAAGCTCTCAATGACCCTATCCAAGGGGCACTGATGAGCAACAGGTGGGGGAGGCAGATGGGAGAGAGGCTGGCTAGCTGGTTGGAATCTGGGAAGGCATTCAATCTGTTATGTTGCTATATGAATTCATCTAATATCCACAAGGAAGAAGTTGTGGTGGGAAGTATGTGGCTCCATAGTAATTTCCCACGTGACATTTCGGGCACAGTCCTTCAGCAGTCCCTTCTTCAGTGGTGACCTGTCAGCTAGCAGGTCGTCCCTCCCTCTGTCCTCAGGCAGAAGCTGATGTTGAACCTCAGGGTGTTTATTTTCCCGGAAAAGGGAGCACACTGCTCATGTCAGGTACCCAGCTCTCTCCTGTCCTAAAACAGACTGCCGCATGCAGCGTGGGCAAAGGCTAGGCCAGAGCCAATAGACACCACGGACAAGAGGGAGGAGAGGCCTTCTGAGGGAGGGGGGAGCTGCTAGCTGACAGATCACCATAGAGGATGGAGCTGCCAAAAATGTCACGTGAGGAAATACTGTGGATCATGAGGCTGGATGGGAAACTGGAGAGAAACAAAGGCAAAGCAAGTCTTTCCTGATTGTCTGAAGAAAGTGCAGTTTTCTCCTTTAAGGGAGGCCCTTCCTCAGCAAGAGGTCCAGGGAGTATATGGACTGAGCCATGGCTGGGTGGTAAACTTGAGCAAGCAGGGTGGGTGTGGTGACAGGATCAAACACAAGCAAACCAGGGTTGGGCAGCCCTTGCTGATCATTCTCCCTGCCCCACCTAGTTAACAGGTCCCTACAACCAGAGTAGAGATCACGGGGTTCTCCCCTTGGGCCCCCAGGACTCCTCATAGTTCCCAATGAGGCCAGGCAGGATGTGCCACCAGATGCTAAGTACCAGTGAGGACTATTTCTACTCAAGGATGGTGATGTTACTTGAAAAATTCTGGTCCCAGGGTTCTCTGAACTATGGGGATCCACCAAGGAGCCTGACACTACTCAGGGGTGGGTTAGAAAGGACTGTTTGGTGAAAGGCTTTGGTAAATAATTCTCAAGGGGTGGTTCAGAAAACTCTGGGCATCACCAAAACTCTTCCATGGGATCAGAGGGGACACTCGTATTTTCACACTGACAGTAAGATGGGTTCGGCCACACCCTTGATCAGTTTCTCAGAGACTGGCAAGTCCTCCCCGAGGCAGATGCTGAAGGCAGGCACAAGGATGCCTGACATTCTTCTCACTTGCTTTTTTGTCTGGGAAACAACTATTGTCATCTATGCGGACATGCCATTTATTTATTCTACAGGGAATGATAAATATTTAAGTTTTCTGTTTTAATTTTCTAATACTGTAAATACTGTTAAGATAAAATTCATATAAACAAAAATCTCCAGAGTAGAGGGGTCTGGAATGTTTGAAAATTGACCTAGGCTGCAACTAGTCAACCCAGCCTGAGGAGGAATGGGAGCCCAGATGAGGCCTGTAAGTGTTTGTCCTGAGGCCTACCTAGTGTGTCTGCTGGTCAGTACTTGTTCCCAGGGCTCTCTGGAGTTATGACTCGCTGGGCTTGCCTATATACTCCAACTAAAATGCAGGCCCCAAGTTGAATATAGCATGTGACCAGGTAGGGGCTGGATGACAGGGGCGGCAGCCACATTACACATGAAAGCAACAGTAACTGACAACAGTATAGAATGTTTCACAAGAAGGCCAGGGCCTATTTCAGGAGCTGATTTTCTTGCTGGGGGTGAGGGAACTGCCTTACCATGTAGCCCTGGCTGGTCTAGCTCCTGCTCTGTAGAGCAGGCTGGCCCTGAATTTACAGAACTCTAGCTTCCTTTGCCCTCTGAGAGCTGGGACTAAAGGCATGTGCTCCCACACCTGGCTGGAGCGGCTTTTCACCTCAGGTCTTGGCAGTGGGAGGAGGTAGGAAGGGGTTTTTAGTACAGGGGTTACAAGATACCAGCCAAGTTACCAGGTCGCCAGCCAAGAAAAGCAGTGCTGGCGTTTGTCTGTTTTTTTGTTTTTAACTTCAAGGGGAAGATACCTACCCAGCGCAGAGCCTGCAACAAGAAGGCTTTCAAGCGGTCACTCCCCCAAATCAAATCCTTCTTCAGTTTCTCATAATCCAGGGAGGGCAGTAGCGGGATATCCTTCAGCTTCCTGCTCAGTACCGCAAGTTCAAAGAGAAAAAAAAAGGGCAAAGGAGCATGCCATTACTCTCCTGAGCATCATGACACCTGCTTAGACTGAAGGATCCCGAGGTGACCCAACTGCCACCCAACTCAGCTCCCAGAATCCCACTGTCCAGGCCCCCACCCAGCCTCAGCCAGATCAGCCCTGCCTGCAATGCTGGGTGGATTTTATGTAGCTAAATTTAATTCTTCTTAGATTTCGATGGCATGCAAATTTTCTGTAATAAGCATGAATTACTTACATAATAAGAAAAAAATTACATACTAGGTTTTGTTTTAGTTTCTGTGTTCCAACAGGGTCTCACTGTGTGGCCCAGCTGACCCTCCCTCCCAAGTACAGTGATTATAGGCTGTGTCACGGAAGTCCAACTCCCTAAACCCATGCTGACTTTTTGAGTTTGCTAACTGCACAGGGCTTGTGTAAAATATTAACACTGGGAAGTCTTGTGGTGGGCTGGAGACACAGCTCAGTAGTTAAGGGTACTTGCTGCTCCTTCAGAGGATACAGGTTCCATTCCTAGCACCAACCATCTGTAACTCTAATTTCAGATATGGTAGGAATTCTAGTAGCATCACTATATCTAGGGTAAACCTTAGAAAGTAACAGTTGTTTTTCACTGTCACTAGGGAAGACATCAATGACAGTTGTTTTCTGGAAGTCCTTTGACCTTGAAGAAATCATTGCAGAAGACAGACTGTTTTCTGTTATCTGTAGCTCTTTTCCTGAAGGAGCTTTATGGCCTTTGCAGGACCTTGGTCATAAGATGGTCCAGGCACACCTGGAATGTCTGGTACTGGAGAATGTTGCAAACACTATACAACAGGGACTAAACATCAGAGGCCTGATGCTTTCCTTCAGGAAACATAGATTAGATTAGGGACTCTGGGATGAGGAACTAGTTTCACGTCCCCAAGAAACAACTTTTGTATAACAATAAAAAATGTCTTTGCATGGCTGATCAAGGTTCGGTTCATTGAGGCTCGACCTCCCTGCTGCCTTAGAGCCTGAATTACATTCTGGAGTACCCCTCTTTCTTTGGTTGACCCACATAACACAGAACACTGACAGGACCCAATACCCTCTTCGGGCCTCTGCAGGCCGTGCATGTGCTGTATACACAGGTAAGCTGGAATACACACATACACAAAAATAAATGCATCTCAAAAGAGAATTTTTAAACAGTTTTTTATATCTCAAGACTATTATAACAGCTGAGTATGGTGGCTAACTTGGAGGCTGAGACAGGAGGATTACAAGTTCAATGCTCTAGCCTGGACTAAATTGTAAATTCAAGACCAGCCTGGGCTATACAATAAAAAAATAATAATAATTTTAAAAATTTAAAGTATGAACGAGTCCTTGTTCTCCAGAAATTGCAAAGCCCAGTTTGGCTCTGCTCCACAACTGGGGCTTTCTCCAGAGGGAAGGGTGGAGAACGGCTCTCAGTGGGCTGTGCACACGGACTAGGGGGGTATGCGTGCCCACAAGGAGTATTACCAAGGGGCCCAGGACTCTTCCACTGATCAAGGAATCGGGTCATGCCTCCTCCCATGTCCTCTTACTATTCTCCACAAACCCACCTCTTGTTTTCTGTAGGTGACTGACCCTGCCCTTATGTCACTAACAATGCTAGCCAACATTCAGAGAGTGCTTACAATCACTGTCCAGCAGTGTACTGTACAGTCTTCCTCACGACAAGCCTGCCGTACAGTCACTACCACTCTTGTCATTTCACAGTAAAGAAGCGGAAGCTCAGAGGCATAGAAGGTCCAAGCACCAGAGCTGGCGGCAGAGGTGGGATTTAACCAGGCTAGCGTGCTTGTGAATCATACTATACTGTCACTAAGTGGCAAGACCATGGGGGACTCAGGAAGGGGGCAGGCAGGTTGTGGCTGTCTCTGCTTGAGTCATCTCACTGATGACTGGTGAGTACACTTGCTGGCTTCAAGGTTAACCAGAACCTACTCCAGTGCCAAAGCTAGAGCATTAACCATGGTCAGGCTTCCCACTTCCTCGCTGCTGTAACATAGCTAGTGAGGTATGCATGTCACACACCTCTGTGGTGACAGCCTAACTCATCTGAACAGGGAAGCTAGGGATAGGCAAAGCTATCCCGAGGATGTAGCCACAGTGTGAGCCAGCAGAAGACACGGGACCTAAGACACTGCAATGTCTGCCGACTGTGGAATGACGGATAGAATTCATTTCTAGAGGATACCACTGGAATAAGCCAACTTTTTTTTTTTTGTTATAGCTGGGTTTTGTGGTTTTACTGTTTGTTTGGTTTTGCTATTTCATGCCACCTTGTAAGAATTGATGTTAAAAGGTGATTCTGGTTCAGTACAATTTATAATCACTGGTATTTCCTCTCATATCCACATGTAGTTGAATGTTTAGTAAACCTATCTTGAATTTCAGTTTTACACATAGATACAAATAGGGAGCTGGAGAGGTCGCCATTGCCCACTCTTCCAGGAGGCCTGGGTTTGGTTCCTGGCCCCACATGGTGACTTACAACCATCTAGAGCACCAGTACCAGGGGATCCAGTGCCTTCTTCCAGCCTCTGCAGACACCACACATGCAGGTTATGTACAGACAGACATACAGGCAAAACACCCATACACATAAAAGTAAATACAATTTTGGAACACAATTAATGAAAACTCTGAAAACTGATTACTTACTCAGGTACCAAGGAGGCTCGTAGCATGGTTGAGGCCTGAGGAGGGGACAGGAACAAACAGACTGTGTTAAACGATGACAGTAGAGCTTCAGCCAAGCCCCTTCTAACAGCACATAAGCAGCCATTTGCAAAGTGCTCAGTGTCCCCCAAAGGCATATATGATTTTAAAGCTGCTACTTGGAAGGAATGTACCACTAGGCCAGTGTCAGTCAGCTGCCCTTGGTCTATTGAGAGTCTTAAGTCAAACGCAATGAAAACCACTGGGCTCTCCTAGCCACACTTAGAGCCATCAAACCATAGACAGCATGAAGAACAGAAGCAGTTTGGATTTTTACGTTCTTTTTTCCTAGTGAGATATTTCTCTTTAAGTACAAGGTAATGTCATTTTGTGCCAAGCCAAACACTCCACTCCACAGGTGCTTAAAAGAAAAACATGACAGTTCCCTTTTGCCTCACTCCCTCATGGTGTGCAGGCTGGCTTATCAACTCTTTTACAGACACACACACTGCCTCACGTGGCCCATGTGGTGTATATGTCCTTATGTTTTGTCACTATCAGCACTGCTGAATTAAATAACAGGAATACAGAGGACTAAACAAACTTGACATGAGGCATGTGTCTGGCAACACACATCAAACGTAAAAGAAAATTGAGAATGGGCTGGACTGGTATTGGGGATTCCTATTGATTCTATTTGCTTGTGGGTATTGTTTATTTCTTAAATCTATCTATTAGATGTGGATATTTCATTTATGGATCAAACTGTTTGAAACTGCCTTAAAAGGATAAGGGGAGAAGAGACTGTTTGCCTAGCACCCCCAGTTTGCAAAGAAAAAAAAAAAGAACAGGGTAGAATAATGCAGACCACCGGAGAGAAAAGCTACGCAGAGGAAAGAATGGAGCCACACCTATCAAGTGTCACCAATTCCTGCCAGTGAGGGACACAGAGGGACTCTCTCTCCTTTGGGAGTTTTTGAAAATGTTATTCTCATGTCCCAACACTGGTCATCTACAAACACCTAATCATCATGAGACTGTCCCAAGAGTTACTCTAAAGCTCCCATGGATACTAAGGAGGTGGTCTTGCCAGTGACCCTGGTTCTGACAGTTTCCATCGGCCAAGTTTACAGACCACAGATTCCAGATTCGAGCTCCATTTCTTTTTTGTTTGTTTGTTTGTTTTTCCACCAGGACAGGGTATCTTTATGTAGTCCTGGCTGTCCTGGAACTCACTCTGGAGACCATGATGGCCTGGAACTCAGAGATCTACCTATCTCTGCCTCCTGAGAGGTGGGATCAAAGGCATGTACCACCATGGCCCAGCCACGCCTCACTTCTAAATGCCTCATGACTATATATGTTTTAATAGTTTTTGCAGTGCTGGGATCTGAACCCAGGACCCTGCAAGTCCTAGGCCAGCAGTCTACTACCCAGCTATACTCTTAGCAGTTTTACTCCTTCAGTGTTTTGACTAAATAAATGACTTATTCCTATTATTAACTTATCAAGCCGTTTGGAAACGGGTCTTAGACACCATCTAGAGAACTCACCTAACGGCTCATCTCACACATTAAAAACAGCAGGACAGGAAGTAGGAAGCCACCTGGCTCAAGTGAGGACATGGAGCAGCTACAGTGTTACCATACACACACCAAATGCAAATCTTTAAGTCCATAATATCAACTCATTCCTAGTTCCCCCAATAAAACTCACCCCTCCCTAAAGAAATCTTCTATCTCAGGCTTCCTCCTCCTGAGGCTGACTACCAAGGCCCAGCTATCAAAGAAGTACTAAAGTCCAGCAATTAAAACCTGCCTTTGGCTCATACCCAATTAAAATTAAATACCTCATCCTAACACAGGGCTGCCCCTTGTATCTTTATAAACTGTGGGTCATGTCTGTCCCCTCACTATCCAGAGGCAGTACTTTGTCCCCCTCTGGGACACAGATCACTCCCCCCAACTCCCTTGTTCCTTTTTCCTCCTTCATCCTCTCTCCTGTCTTTGTCTTATTCCCTGCCCTTTGTCCTCTGGGACAAATAAAACTCATTTGTGCTGAGAACTTGGTCTTGGGGTGTCATGAACCCCAACCATAAAACTATTTCATTACAACTTCATATCTGCAATTTTGCTACTATTGTGAACGTAATATCTGATATGGAGAATGTCTGATACACAACCCAGATGCTGAGAATGGCTGCCCTAGCAGTTCCCACTGGGGAATGAGTCTGCCTCCAGAAAACATCTGGTGATGTCTGGAGAGACTGTTGGTTGTTACAACTCGTCTTTGCAAGGACTTATGTGATTTTTTTCTGGGTTGCTTTTGTTTTGTTTTTTTTGCAAAGGAGTCTCATGTAGCCCAGGCTGGACTCCAACTTGCCATGTAAACAAGTATGACTTCAAACTTTGGATCCTCCTGCCTCACCTCCTAGAGTACTGGGACTTCAGGTATCCACCACCATAGCTGGTTTTCCGTGGTTCTGAGTGTTGCACCCAAGGTTTCAAGCAGGCTAAGCATGCATGTACTCTGCCAACTGAGCCCCAGCCACATTCAGTGTCACAGTCACACCAGCTTGCCAGTCATCTCACTGCTTGCCAACCACCAGGCTGACACACAGCAAACAGTCAAGTGTCTTCTGAATGACTCCAACTTGACATTCTACCCATGGGACATAGGCGGTGCCCACCGGTGAGTCCAGTGAGAATATCACCGTGGGTGGGGACCCCAGTGAAGGCAGAACAGGTCAGCATCTTGCCCCACCGGTCTGTGCTAAGCTTCCTGCTCTGCTGGGGCTGCTTGAGTGGAGGGAGCCCTGGTTGCAGTGTGACAGCTCTGGCCTCATGTAGCCCAGGCTAGCTTCAAAGTCACTACTGAACTGAGAATGCCCTAGAGTTTCTGGTTCTCCTGAATGCTGGACTGTAGGTATGAGCCACATCCCCTGGTTTATGTGATGCTGGTGACTAAACCCAAGGCTTCCCTCATGCTGGCCATTCTATCAGCTGAGCCACTCCCCAGCCCCAGAAGTGTTGGTAATCACACAGACACTGAGGAAGCTGTCAACTTCTGTGGAGCAACAGTCCACATGCACTGGGTCTCTAAGGTGTCCACTGCAGGCTCTCAAGCCAGTTATGACCACAGCTACTGCTGCCTGATAGGAGTCACTGCCACACAGCTGTGAGCACTGCGCTGCGTAGGGTGTATGCAAAGCCCAACAGCTGGCCAGTTACAGCCCAGTGGGAGAAAACAGGAGACCACACAATCTATCACAGCCAGAACAAATCCCTCGACAAATCTCAAAGACTTTTTTTTTCCAGGACAGTTTCTTAACACAGAAGCAAGCTCCAGAAAGAACTAGGGCTCAGCTGAGAGAGATAAAGGGCAGCTACAGCTGCAGGGTGTTCCCAGCCTCCCTGAACAGTCATCTGGTTCACTTGAGGAATCCCTGAGGAAATGCTGGGTGGGAAAGAAGCTTCTTCCGGGCACAGACGGAGGACACAGTAGACTAAGCCATGGACCAAGGTGTCGATGACTGAGTCAGATCAGTGAAAGCTCCTAGGATTCTTAGACTTGAACACAAAGGTGCACGAAAGTCAAGGTGCAAATGTCACACCTCTCAGGATCTTCAGCCACAGGAAGCCCTGGAGCCGAGCCTTCCCTCAGATGCTACCTGAGGCCCCAGCTAGTAGGCCTGGGACAGTGATCACAACCTGACAACCTGTGGTGTCAGGCTGTCAGCAAGTACAGGGGTGACATCCTAGGGGCAGCTCAGGAGGGAGAGTGGCCCTCAACCAAGGGCCTTGCACAACAGTGCGCCAGGAATCTCACTAGGCCACATGCTTCCTAAATCAAAGTTTGTTTGTTCTGGGCTAGGTTTAGTCTGCAAACACATTTAAAAAAAAAAATGTAAGCACGAAAAAGGGCGGAAGGAACAAGTGCTCAGCCCAGGTAGGAGCAGAACGGGGTGGAGGCGCCACACAGTCGGCCGCTTGCGCCTAGGGGGATCAGAGGGGCCGACAAACCCCTTTAGTCCAGGCCCAGCTCTGCCATGCCTCGGATGTGCTAAAGTACACATGAATGAGGATTATGGTACCCTCCCGACAAAATTTCCAGAGAGGCTCAGATCACAGTGGGACATCCAAGGCCTCAGCCTGCACCTGAGGGAACAACCCTGAGTGACTCTGTAACCAGAAGAGGGTGTGTACAGAAAGAGAACCCCTTTACCTTGAAGTAAGGACAGTCATGGAGCAAAGGTGTAATGTAACCTGCTACCTCTAAGACACCCGAATCGTTCCTAGGATACAAAGACGTAAACAAACAGACCCACCCAGAAAGCTGAGTGAGTGACAAGCATGACAATGAGGGGAGACCCTGGCTCACAGACAGGAGAGAACTACCGACAGTCTCAGCAACACACAGCAACTGACATAGCAGAGAGAGCCCTCAGCCAGCTCCCAGTGACCAGTGCAGCTGAGTGAAGGGGAGGGCCCGGCCCTGAGTGACTCCCAGGGGTCTCATTCTCCACACCAGGCAACAGGGCAGAGTGGATAGTGGGCACATAAATGTTCCTGCGGGAATCTGAGGAAAGAGTCTGGAAGTCTGTCTGGAGCTAGGGAAAGGTCATGGTTCTCCCCACTGACTGAAGTATAAAGGTATGAACTGCCATAGATTTGGGATCACAGGTACAGGACATACATCTGTGTGTGAGGCAGCAGCAAGGGGACAGGATCTCAGTAGGTGGCTCTCTCACCACACTGACCCTGAAGTGGAGTGGCCGTGTGGACAGCTGCAGGTAGCCTGTGAAGACCTAGAGAAGTCCCGGGAGGTGCGGATGGCCACAGCTGCTGAGCTTCTGCCAGAGCAAGACTCACACAACAGGGAGAGAAGAGCCATGCCTGGTTCCACACCTCAACACCTGTACAGGCCGCCCTGCAAAAAGGGGGCAGCCACCACAGCCTTGTAACATCTTACTAAGACAAAGAGAGTGCAGCTGCAGCTTCCCTCCAAGGTTCCCGTTTCCTAGGTCTATCATGAATTT